AGAAACAAAGTCCAAAACCCTAAATCTTTGAGCTCCATGTTCGATACCTAGGACAGATTGTGGTGAGATATGAACTTAAAGGAATTGGACAGCCCCTCCCAAGGCCTTGATAGTTGCACTCCATGTGGCCTCTCCTGGGCTGGCTCTGCTTACTGCCTGTGGTTTTCCTTAGCAGGCATTCAACATCTCTGGCATTTCCAACTTCTTTGGGTCTCCACTGCACCTTTGGCTTCACTCTCACACCCTCTCAGAGGCTCCTGTCAGGAACCGTGACCCTGCCACATATTTTTGCCTGGCGTCCCAGGCCTTCTGAAATCTGAGTAGAACCCTCTGTGACCTCATACTCTTATATTCTTCATACCTGAAAAATCAGCACCCTGTGGATGATGCTACAATCTGCCACCAGCTCAAGCAGTAACTAGACACCCTTGGACCACGGCTGCAGTGGCCTCTGAGTGTCTGGATGGCTGAACTCAGAAATTCTTCCCTAGGCATCCCTGAATAAACAGGGCTCTCTTCCCAAAGCAAAGTCTTTACAAAAAGTTTACCCTTTCATGCCCTTGAACCTATGGAGAATAGGTTTGACCAATTCTTGAGATGCTTTCAATACATCTGTCCTGTTATCCTGATGCTAAGTACTTGGCTTCTTTTTAATGCTATTCTTTTCAGCAACAATGTTCTCCATGATTCCACTTGGTGCACACACTTCTTTTCTGATGAAAGCAATTTTTAAAAAATCTTTCAGCTCTATTTTTTGTTCCTACTTCTTACCATAAATCTGGCTAAAAGCAGCTACCCATACCAATGCCATAGACTGAACACGGGGCTACCTTGAAATCTTCTCCACCAGGTCAGTTAGTCCAATACCTTTAAATTCAGCCTCACACAAAGTTTTAGGATATGGACAAAATATAGACAGATTATTTTCCAGAATAAAGCAAGGCCTTTAGTACAGTTTTCAATAGAATTTTTGTTCTTCCCATCTGAAGCCTCAAGAGTTGTCTTCTACCATTTGCATTCCTATCAGCATCCTGGTCTTCTGAGCTCCAATCATAATCACCCGTCAAGCTCTACTCATAGCAGTCTGGGTCTTCTCTAGCACACTCCTTCAAACCTTTCCAAACTTCTCCTGCAAAGAAGTTCTGGGGGTTTCTGAACCACATGATTAGGTATAGTCACTGCCACAACATGAAGTTTTCTGTATTAGTCACTTTCCCAATACTGGGCCAAAATATCAGACACTTGAAGGAAAAGATATCTATTTTAGCCCATGTTTCAGAGGATTAGTCCATGGTTGGGTAGCTTCAAGGCAGAAACAGTGCACTAGAAGTGTATGATGGAAGAAAACTGCCTGACTCACGGCAGCCAGGAAGCAGAGAGAGAAAGGAGGAACCGAAGATAAGAATACACTCTTCCAGGTTATGCCACCAGTGACTCACCTCCAATTAGGCCCCGCCTCCTAACAGCACACTCAGCTACTAATTCAACAATGGATTAATATACTGATGAGTGTCACACCCCTATTATCCAATTAGCTTCCAACAGCTCTACCTCTAAATACTTGGGACTTTGGGGGAACATTTTAAACCTAAACCAAAACCGTACTTTATGCAATTTATGTTTTTCTTTGTGACCTCCATGTCCTGAAAGTCCTTCTGAATTGGCAACACATCTCATTTTCCACTAGTAAATATGTCCACCATTTATGCTTTGGGCGGCATTTTGACATTTTTCACTGGATCTTTTTTATCTCGTCTTTCATTTATTTTGTTAGATTGATGACATTCTCACTACTTAATGCCTATAAAATGACTACATTAGGTCATGATAAGAATTATCCCTGAAGTTTGTAAGCAGATGTGCAGATGTGGTGTATGTGTGCCTGTGTGTGTGTGTGTGTGTGTGTTTATGATAACAGTGCTTACATAATCTCCAAGACAAGAGGCCCTGGGGACTCACACACAGTGATGGAACAGTTGGTTTAAATTAGGTTTCCATGTGAAATACAGTATGGCTATTTTTTCCCTAGCATTGTGGGAAAGTGTATGGAAAATGATTTGACTGATAGGAAATAAATCTGGATGCATGATCAAGATTGAGGCACAAATCTAGTGGTGTTCTGTGCTTGGTCTGTGAAGCAGGCCCTCCAGGGGTGGAGAATTAACCATTTTTAGTCACTACAAGGTGGGACAATAGCCTTAAGGAACTGTAATTTTCTGGAGACCCTTAATTGCCATGAATTTCAACAGAAAAAGAGCTAACACTATGGGAAGAATATAGCCAAAGGCCTCAAGTTCTAATGAATTGGATGACTTTGAGGAATCAGTTTAGCTTTCCAGGATCTCATTTTTATTTGTAAGGAGAAAGGTTTTGAATTTCCAACTCTGAGAGTCGACAGTGTTATGATTCTAAGTGTTTGTTAATGACTTCCCATTGTAGCTTAGAGGTTATCAAAAGTAAATCAAAGCCGGGCATGGTGGCACATGCCTGTAATCCCAGCTAAGGCAGGAGGATCACTGTGAATTCAAGACCAGCCTGGGCTACATAGTGAGTTCCAGGTCAGTCTCAACTACATAGTGAGACCCTGCCTCAAAAAAAAAAAAAAAAAAAAAAGTAAATCAGAGGCTGGGGATTTAGCTCAGTGGTGTTGCCACCTGCCTTGCAAGCACAAGGTCCTGAGTTCAATCCCAATACCAAAAAAAAGGAAAGAAAGAAAGAAATGTAAATCAGATTAAAGAAAGAATTGGACAGCAGCACCACGTGGGCAGCTTCTGCTGACAAAATAACTTTTTGGTGTAACAGAGCTAGGGTTTTAACCGGTGAGTGAACAAGGCATAAAGACGGAGCAAGGGATTGCTCATAAACTGCTAGAGACAAGTTAGCTCCCGTAATCCCATACTGGGATGATCTGAACAGGGCTTGTTCTAGAGGTCTGATTCCAGACCTATTCTGATGTTGCCCGAAAGCCAGCTTCATCCACAGCAGGCAGAGAGCAGAGGGGCACACGGGAACTTCCTGGGCTTGTGACCAGGCTCAGGGTGGCAGGTGGCCCAACAGGTTTTACTTCTGCTATTTTTGAAAGAAAAGAGGAAGGTAATTACTCCAGTGCTCCTGGCTAGTACCAGATTTTAGCCCTGTTTTTATCACTAAAATTCCCACCTCCTACTAATTCCCCATTTGTTTTTGTATAGGGACAGGAAATATGGACTGAATATAAATCCTTTGCTTTCTGTTTTTTTGTTTGTTCTATTTTATTTTCATTTTAAAGTAATTTTAGATGCTATTTTTGGTATCCCCTTTTATTCCAGCTTTGACTTCAAATGCCCAGGTCCAGATTGAGTGCTTAGGAAGACTTCCACAGGTTCATCTATAAAGAAACTCACTTTTCATTAGATAAAAGAGAGAACACTAAACTGGAATTCCTAGTTTTGACATCAACAAGAGCTGACCTCACAGTTCTGGGTGTGGTGGCGCACATCTCTAATCCCAGCAACCTGTGAGGCTGAGGCAGGAGGATGGCCATGAGTTTGAGGTCAGCCTAGCCTGTATATTTCAAGGCTAGCCTGGACTACACAACGAGACCCTGTCTCAAAAAAGCTAAGAAAGAAAGAAGAACTGTGACCTCACAAAGTCATTTCTGACCATAGATTGTTGATCTGGAAAAATGGGATTGAGCTACCTTGTGCAGTTGCTGCCGGTACTAAATGTCATTAATTCTTACCATATTTTTGACTTGTGAACGGTATACCCTTGACCTTGAACTCTCATTTCTTGCACTTGTCTGGGCCACCATGAAATCTGTTCATACTTCTCTCTCACACGGGCTTAGGAAGTATGACTCTTCATATTTCAGCACTGCTTCTGACCCAGCTGTAGCCAATGGGGCCATGTAGGGTTAAAACTAAGGCTTTGTTCTATTGGTGACCAAGCTCACCAACTGAGATGTTAGTCAAGATAGATCAAAGTAACTCAAATGGACACAAGTGCCCAAATGTCAAAGTATGGACAGCAGCAAAATAATTTTAGAGCTTAAGCAGGGATTAAGATGAATATCAAAGCTGCACATCATAAAGAAGATGTGTAGATATTATCATTAAATATTGTACTCTAGCCCATGTAAGGGAAAACACGAATCACACTTGAATAAATTTATCTAAGAGCTGCGGAACATTAAAACTTGTGTATATACATTGGCCTTAGTTAGAGGTTAATAGTGCAATTTCCAGATTAGACACCCTAAGTCCAAATCCAGCTTTTGCCACCTAATGGTTGGTGACCTTAAGCATGTCTCTGAGGATATTGTTAGCCCCTCACTCTTAAGATTCACTCTTAGGATTGTTGTGAGACATAAATGAAGTAATCTAGGCAATGTGCTTAGAATACTCCCTAGTACATGGTAAGTGCGGTATAAATATTTGTTCTCATTAGTTTGGCATTTGAAAAGCATAATAGATAATATTTGTGTTAAAAATGTTCAAAAATTGTTTTATATTTTTGATAGTATATATTTTACTGATTGATAAATGTCTGTAATACATGAGCTGGTATACTGAATGCATCTAATCTTGATGTCCATTAGTCAAATACATTTCCATCAAAATTATTCTTGTAAAAGTAGAAGAGCCCCATGATGAATGTAACTGTATTGTATACCTAAAAAGTACCAATAAACTCAATGATGATAAAAAATAAAAATCGCCATTTTAAAAAAATTATTCTTAGGTTTTGTTTTCTTAAAAGTCTCATGGAATTGTGTAAATCAAGAAGGATCTTATGAGTTTCCCTTTTCAGTAAAGGCGAGGATGAAGAGGCAGAGAAATTAATGACCCGTGCACATTCACTCATCAAACCAATGACAGATCTAGGATTTCACTTCACATCTTTTAGCCTAGTCCTTCCTATCCTGATACTAAATAATTTTTTTTTTAAGTTTTCTTATGAAAAAGTGTTTATCCATCTCCCAACACAGATTCAGCCAATGCCCCTTCTGTGTCTTCCAGGTGAGCTCCTGGGTAACATGGCTGATCCTCACGGCAGGATCCATGGAGGAAAAACGAGAAGTCTTCTCATATTTGGTGCATGTGGCCAAGTGCTGCTGGAACATGGGCAATTACAATGCTGTCATGGAGTTCTTGGCAGGCCTCAGGTGAGTCAGTGGGAACATGGTAATCTGAGCAGTTTCCTCTCGCCAGCCAAATGGCACTGCTTTTTTTCTCTGGGCAGCCACGTTTATCCAAGTTGGGCAGTTGGTAGTGATCATTTTGGAGAATATACTCTCCTCTGCCAGCCCCATGAGCCCCGCCTCTTAAAGATGCCACAGAATTCAGTTCCTGTAGTGCAGTCATGATCCTGCTTCATTGTTTCTGCACTGATCTCCAGTTCCTGTCCAAGCTGAGTGAAATGAATAGATCACACGACCCATCGACCCTGTCATTGGTCCCTCTCTTTTTCTTCCTGTTTACAGATCCCGCGATCATCTCTCTTTTCTCAGTCCTCCCTACGAATTACCCCAGCACTGTATGCACCTAACCATTTCTTGCCCCTAGTAATAATAATTGCTAACACTGACAGTAAGCTTCCAATGTTAGCTCTCTCAGTATTGAGCACTCACTGTATGCAGGCACTGGACTAGCAAAGTATATTCCATACATTACATCTTACAATTGTCAAAACCTTTTTGAAGTAGATGCTATTATTATCCCATATTGTATCAAAGTTAAGAGAAGTAATTCACCCAAGATCACCTTGCATGGCTGGGACATATACAGGTAGCCTGTTTTCAGAGCCCATGATCTCTTTCACTGTAATTTCATGCTCTTATGCCTTCTTTCTCCATCAAGCTGATAAAATTGCCAACCCAAAATAAAACTTCCCACCCTATACCCTTTCTGCCTTGGTTACATGGCATGAAGTAACTGCCCTTATTACTATGGAAGGCAGCATGGTGTGTGAGGAAGGAAAGGACAAGATGACTAGTTAATAATATAGCATCAAGTCCTGCTTCCCCAAGGAGTACTTGTTTGATCTGCTCAAGCTATTTGACTTCATTGAGCCCCAGTCAGTAAAATGGAGATAATATCAAAAAGCGCCCACCTCTCTAGGTAAATGTGTCTGGCATGTGGTAAGGCTCCAGAAGAGAAGCTCTTATTATTGTTGTTTCTTGTGACTCACCATGACTGCGACACAGGTTCTCTCTATAAATAAATCTTGTTTCATAACATTACAATAGCAAGGTTTTTCTTTGATTGTCTTAGTCCCTAAAGAGATTACAGATTGAGAGAAATGAAAATTCCCTGAGTTGGAAATCTTTTTGTCCTTTTGAACTTTCTTAACTGAGAATAAACTCAAAGTCTCATATCATTGACATTTAAAACTGGCCATATAAATGCACTAGGCATGGCTAAAAAAAAAAAATGAAACCAGAAAAAAATTCTTAGAAAATAGAAAGCTATATCCAAATGATTCTGATTCTCTTTATTTTCTACAAAGAATATATGTTAGCATTCGTTCTAAGAAAAAAAAAATATATGGTATAAAGTGATCCTTTTTTTTAAGTTTTTGGGGGTCTATTTTTTTTTTTATTTTTCTGAGACAGTGTTTCACTATCCAGTCTAGGCCTTTAACTCAGTATTTTCCTGCTTCAGCCTCCCAGTTGCTGGCTTTACAGGCATATAGCATCATGCCTGGCAAAATAGCTCTGTTTTCATGATGCTTGTCTTCCCATGTTTCACCACCGTCTAGTGTTGACTGTTGGGTAGGGTCCACACTTCTTCCAATGGACAAACCTATCTCCCATCTGGTGCTGACTCCCTGCAAAGTAAGCATCCAAGACAGCCAGGCAGAAGCCACTTTGCTTTTTATGTCCTAGTCTCAGAGTCACATCCTATCACTTCCATCATTCTGTACTGATCCTGTAGAATCAGTGCTAAGTCGCTGTGGCAGGGGCCATACAAAGGCTTAGCACCACAAGGTATGATCAGTGGAGACCATCTTGGAGGCAGGCTTCCACATCCCATGTTTTAGATTCTCTTGATAAAAGAATGGCCTCATATGACCCTGAAAAACTTAGAGTTAATTTGATTTTCAGACCAATTTAGATTGAATTCAGAATCCAAAAAGACCTCAGAGCCAGGAGAATCTCATAGATAAGGAATAACATCAAAACACCTCATTGATCCCTATGCATTTTTGTCTTGCATCCCCAAACCTCAACCTCTTAGTTTATGCTCCTGTGTTTGGCCTAACACTAAACTCATCTTTACCAATAGATGAACTATATAAACAGATAAATTACAAATATTTTTTGATAGAATGTGTGTAGAGATAGAGTTTGTATGTGCACTTTTAGGCTTGAAAAAAATTTTTTTGTGTTTTTTGAGGCAGGGTCTCACTATGTAGTTCAGGCTGGTCTCGAACTCACAGTGATCCTCCTGCCTCAGCCTCCCGAGTGCTGGGATTACAGGCATGTGCCACCACATCTGGCTAGGCTTGAAAAATGTTTAAATCTGAAATAATTTAACTCCATCAGGATTACTAGAGGGTTTTTTTTTTTTTAAGCACTTCAATGGGAAGAAGAAACATTTTTTTTTTTTTTTTTTTTTTTTTTTTTGGTACCGGGGATTAAACTTGGGTCCTTGTGCTTGCAAGGCAGGCAGTGGAACCACTGAGCTAAATCTCCAGCCCCTAGGAACATCTTTATTGTTAAATTAACTTTTATTATGAACACTGTACATGTTGCTTCCTCTAATTAAATTGTCAGCTCTTTTAAAGAAAAATTAGAAGTTTATAATAAAACATTTATAATTGAAGTATTAACTCAATTGTGCTGTCAATTTAAAATAACTCAAAATGAACAATTGGAAAATCATTAAAGGAAATAATATGACACATCCAGATAGAAGAGTAACACTTAGCTGTCAGAATTGATGTTTAATACTGGCACAGTGGCACACACCTGTAATCCCAGCTACTTGGAAGGCTGAAACAAGAGGATTGTTAAGTTCAAGTCCAACCTAGAAAACTTAAGTGATATCCTGTCGCAAAATTTAAAAAAAAGAAGATATTTATGAAAAACTTTACATTGTTGGAAAATAGATGACATACAATGACTAATACTATCTGGGAATAAAGCTATCTATACCTAATAACCTTGGCAATATTTATACACCCAGATAGACCTAGATAGTTAAGTTATACTAAAAGTTAATACACTGCATGTTGTCAGTAGAATTGTGGGTGATTTTTCTATTTAGTTTTTATTTTGTTGGGGGTTTTGTTGTTGTTTTGCTCTTATTCTTGATTTTTTTTTTTTAGTTTGTATAATGACCGTTTGGTACCTTCATAATCATAAGATAGGCCAATTCTCAATCAAGAATAGTTTATTGATCTTTCCTGAAGTTTATCTTTACCCCCAAGTGTATCCTTTTGACTCCATTACCTACGCAAAAGAGAGATTAATACAGGATGAGAACCACGTCTCAGTCATTCATTTGCTTTGCATATTTATGTCTCCATTTTATTGGAGGGGGGATTCTCTCCACTTTATAACAGTCTGGTTGTAGGATAAACTGGACCTTGTTGCGTAAAATCAAAAAACAATTTTATTTTTCCAACTGCACTATTTTAGATCTGTCTGACTGGCTCTCCCTCCCCAACCCTGATTGTACACAAGGAGATTCTGTGGCTTTTCCAGTCATTCTTGAGTTTAATAAGCAGTCTCATTCTCCATACCTATGAGTGTCAATGAATTTCCAAAATATAAGGGTGTGGTTTTTTTTTTTTTAATTTTTTGGTACTGAGGATTGAACTCAGGTCCTTGTGCTTGCAAGGCAGGTGGCAGAACCACTGAGCTAAATCCCCAGCCCCAAGGGTGTGTTTTATATCACAGCAATATATGCTAAGTATAAAAAAATTATAAAGACCAGCTATATCTGGAAGACACCTCTGAGAAGCAATCATTCTTTAAAGGTTCTAAATACAAGCAACAAAGGTACTTACAATAAGAGATGTGAAAGTATCAACTCAAGAATTAACCCAAGGACTAAACCAACAACAATAATAGAAATGAAAAGACATCTAAACAAGACACAGTCTTCCAGCTTACCAAAAGCAAGTTCTGGGAGAAATAAGATGGAAACATCTGATAATCAACTACCTGGGCAACCTGACTGTTAGAACAGGAAATTGAAAAAAGAGGTGTATGAGGCTCTAGAAATATTCAAAACAAGAATAATTTCCCAGATAACTACAGAGATAATGAGCAGAATAAAAGATATGATTAGAAACTCTAGAAGAGAAACAGATAAAAAGAAAATAGATGAATTCAGGGCCATGATGGAAGCCATGAATGATCAGCATAGGAAAGAAATGGAAACCATGAATGCCCAACATAAGAAAGAAGTAGAATCTATGAAAAACATTCAAACTGATATCCAGGAGATTAAAAAAATCTATTGAAAGTATAATAGCAGACTAACCCAATCTGAAGACAGAATATCAGATATAGAAGACAGGATGGTGGTCAGTGACCATGAAAGGAGAGATCTGTTAAAAATAGTAAGGGACCATGAAAAATCAATCCAACAACTCCTGGATGATGCAAAGAAAAATAATATAAGATTGATAGGAGCCCATGAAAAAGCAGGAGAAAGCACAAATTACATTTTAAAAAACTGTTCACAGAATTAATGATAGAAAACTTCCCAAACAGAGCAAAAGAACTTGACATACAGATAAGTGAGGCATATAGGACTCCAACTAGTTACAAGGAAAAAAAATAAAAACCTAGACATATAATACTCAATGTTCTGGAAACTCAACATAAGTAAAATACTACAGCATTATAGAAAAGAAACAAATTTCATGCAAAGGAAAGCCCATCAGAATCACCGCAGACTTTTCAACACAAAACCTCAAGTCAAAGAGAGCCTGGAGCTTTAAAAGAAAACAACTTTCGCTGTC